GGAGGAGGAATGCTGCCTATGACTCCAAAAACATCGTCCCCACTGTCAAATATGGAGGTGGAAACATTATGCTTTGGGGGTGTTTTTCTGCCAAGGGGACAGGACAATTGCACCGCATCAAAGGGAGGATGGATGGGGCCATGTACCATCAAATCTTGGGTGAGAGCCTCCTTCCCTCAGTCAGGGCATTGAAAATGGGTCGTGGTTGGGTATTCCAGCATGACAATGATCCAAAACACACGGCCAAGGCAACAAAGGATTGGCTCAAGAAGAAGCATATTAAGGTCATGGAGTGGCCTAGTCAGTCTCCAGACCTTAATCCCATAGAAAATCTGTGGAGGGAGCTGAAGGTTCGAGTTGCCAAACATCAGCCACGAAACATTAATGACTTGGAGAGGATCTGCAAAGAGGAGTGGGTCAAAATCCCCCCTGAGATGTGTGCAAACCTTGTGGCCAACTACAAGAAACGTCTGACCTCTGTGATTGCCAACAAAGGTTTTGCCACCAAGTACTAAAGCACATTTTGCAAAGGGATCAAATACTTATTTCATTCATGAAAATGCAAATTACTTTATAACTTTTTTGTAATGCATTTTTCTGGATTTTTTTTTGTTATTGTTGTGTCTCTCACTGTTCACATAAACCTACCATTGAAATTGTAGACTGATCATTTCTTTGTTAGTGGGCAAACTTATAAAATCAGCTGGGGTTCAAATAATTTTTTCCCTGACTGTATACAACATGATTTGAAGAACTGATCACATAATCAAAGTGCTCACCTTAGTGTTTCCCCAAAAGTCTCTGTATTCTTTCAACAGCTGCTGATTCCGAAAAACATCTGGAAGTCAGTGAATACATGATTCAAATAAAACTATTCTGTCAGTTCAGAAATAAAAAAAAATGGCTGTGAAACTAATACATTATAATAAGTTATGCAAATATTTACAATACAACTTAAAATATGAGCCGAGCTCAGTTTTAACATAAAATGAGTAGTTTGACATTTTAGGAAACACACTTATTTAGAGCAGCAAAAATTATTCAATCAAATGATGAGCTAATCAAAAGAAAATTTATTGACAATTATTATTATTTGATAATCGATGAGGTAATATTTCAAGCATCAATGTGACTGATGCCATTTTCTCACATGTGGGAATTTGCAGCTTTTCCATGTCTGACACAACAAAACAGTTAATGGCATCATCATCATGGTTTTCTGGATCGTGCCAACATTCATTTTACAGAGCATATAATGAATTAATTAATGATAATATTCATTATTTGCAGGCTTACACGCATTAGCTTTATGGCAGAGAGGTACAGAGAAGATACCACACTCTTTTCTCCAGCAGCTAGTTAGCTCAGTATAAAAACTAGAGACTACGGAAAACAGCCAGTCTGTCTCTGTCCAAAGGTAACAAATCCTGCCTACCAGCACCTCTAAAGCTCCCTGGCAGAAAACGAATAAGCATATTTCCCAAACAGTTCAACTTTTGCTTCAGGACAAAACCTGAAAAATGCATATGCAGCTGGGGAAAAAAATAAAAGCCTACTTTCTTGATATTCTCTCTCCATCGCTTTCCTGAGTTTTCTCTCCCGAGCCAGAGCTTCATGGCTTCCCCATATGTCTAGTGCTCTAACAGATATAAGAATCAACATGTTAGAAACCACAGTGTTGAAAATTGGTGATTTGAGCAGTAACTTGGTGGAAGACATAGTGCAGAGTGAGGTGTAAAGTGCAACACTAACTTGGCCTCCACGTCTGACCGCAAGAACACAGTGAAAGCCTCTGTGTCATCATGGGGGCTGCGTCTTGTGATCTTCCGAAGATGTTCCAGATCACTGTGAACATTAGGTGAGGGGATTAGAGAAAGGAAGGCCTGTGTTTAAATGATCTCAGGCAGACTTATATTGATTAATTATAACAGCATGTTTACTGATTAACACGAGGGGTTTTTCCATTATAGGAGCTGCTCGTCAAGGGTTCTACATTCATTTCCACTATGGTGCGCTTGCTTTGGAGGTGTGTTCTGGGAGCTACATTTCAGCACCCCTCACGAGGTAGTACTAAAATCAAGCACCAGGGGCATGAAGGGAGAGGGGTTGTGTGGGCAGAGAGCACTTGCAGGTGATTGGTTAAATATATAATTAGCATTACAAGGCCGTGTTTAAAAACCCCTCGCTTC